TGTGGGGTTGTTAACCAATGTCATAAAACAACATGTGTACTACTGTTTCATGAGAAACTATTTGTTCTGTAAGCCTTCACCTGAAGTACAATAAAATATAAAAAAAAAAAAAAGAGAAGAAACTTCATCAGCAAATGGTCAAGACAAGCCAAGGTCAGAAAACAATTTGGGCAAAGCTAACCCAACCATTTTGTCCTTCGGTTAAAAAAAAAAAGGTGCAGTGGCAGGGAACTTTTTGATATTGACAACTCTTGCATTGCGTGTCCTGTTTCCTGTACCCCGTGTATTCTTGATTTACTGTGACTTTTTGGTAGAGTATATAGTCTAGTGTAGTATTCCTGAACTGGACTCCTGTGAGGGAATTAAGGCCTATAGAAAAATTATTTAAGTGACTATTTTCTCAATGCTCCCAAGGATGAGAGGTACATAGATAAGGTGCATAATTAAAACCATTATAAATGCATAGGAGATGAAGTTAATTTATTATAAACAATGGATGCCTTAAGTCATTGGTTGTAATTCTGTTGCGGAACCCCAGTTGAGAAGGGCTCCTCTAGTAATTTCTTTAAAAACAGTGCATAGAAGGTAAATTTTTGAGACTTTGCATGTCCAAAAATATCTTTAATTTACCCTCATATGTAACTGATAGTTTGGCTAGGCGTGAAGTTTCTGGATGGCACAGGTGGTTAAGTGCTCAACTACCAGCTGAAAGGTAGGTGGCTCGAACCCACCCGGAGCCTCCTCGGGAGACAGGCCTGGCAATCTACTTCCGAAAATTCACAGCCTTGAAAACCCTATGGAGCAGTTCTAGCACACGCAGGGTCTCCATGAGTCAGAATCAACTCGACAGCAACTAACAACAACAAAATGAAATCGTAGGTTAGAAGTTACTTTCCCTGCTTATGTTTTTATCTTTCTTCTAGTATTATTGCGATACTTATAACTAATCTGACTCCTGATCAAGAGGAGCGTGATGTTCTCAGTTCTGTGCCTATTGACGATTCCTTGGTTTAAATAGGGTTGATTTTTCATTTTTACCTATGGTGGTTAGTGATGTGGCTTTCTTGGCTCTGCAAGACACTGATTACTTGTTCATATCATGCTTTCCAGTGTCCAGATTAATGTTGCTGATGTATCTTTTCCTCGTCTTCCTACACTTGTGGGCTTATGTCTTTAAAAAAAGTCCCTTTCCTCTAATTTTGGTGGAGTTTTAGGAGGGAACAAATTAAGACATTGTCTTCATTCTGCCATTTTAACCTGGAACCTTGCTAGGTATTTTATATATATTACCTAATTTGATCCTCAGCAATCCCATGATATAGGTACTATTTTTAGTAATTTATAGATGATGAAACAGAAACCTAGAGAAATTAAGTAAACTGCTCATGTTCATCCAGCTAGAACAGAACTGGGATTTGAACCCAAGCCGTTTATTTATTTAAAATCTTGCTTAGCCTGTGTGATGTTGTATTCTTTATGCTTTGAAAAACAAACACCATTTGCATAAATGAATCATAATTATTTCTCTATTGTCTATTACCAGTTACTGACTCATGATGATCCCACGTATGTCAGAGTAGAACAGTGTTCCATAGAGTTTTCAGTGGCTGATTTTTTCTAAGTAGATTGCCAGGCCTTTCTTCCAAGTGGCCTCAGTGGACTCTAACCTCCAACGTTGTGGTTAGCAGCTGAGCACATTAACTGGTTGCACCACCCAAGGACTCCTATTGTCTACAATTAATGGTAATTTATATTTTATGACACATAGAAAATCAAGAACAAAACAAAACCTATTACAATTATGGGTATTAACCATAAACTTAAGAAGACCTGGTGGAGTAGTGGTTAAGCTGTCAGCTGCTAACCGGAAGGTCAGTGTTCGAACCCAACAGCCACTCCATAGGAGAAAGATGTGGCAGTCTGCTGCCGTAAAGATTTACAGCCTTGGAAACCCTATAGGGCAGTTCTACCCTGCTCTGTAGGGTCGCTATGAGTTGGAATCATTAGAAGGCAATGGGAGGGAGGGTTAACCGTAAACTTATTTATTTTACTGCTATTCGGCTTTGAAATGCCTTTGCCCAAGAAAGAATGTGTTATGTACAGGAAGTTGAGCTGTTCGTTTTTAAGTGTCATTTTCAGTAAAGAGAAACAGTCCTAGATTATATGAGAGACTGTTGTGTATGATGGAGAACAAGTCTTGAGATGTATGTGTAGTGAGGGAGGAAACTTAGAGCTTATGGTAAGTTACTTATAAAAATGAACCACTGAATAAGTTGTAATTGAATTTGTTGTCCAGCTATGTGTTGTCCACCTATTACCAGGTTGAAACTAAGAGTTGTGATCAGAAAACTCGGTCTATTATATATATACAGTAATTGACTAGAGCTTTTTAACTTGAAGTAAGATAGAGTACGGTAAATGGATTTGAATATAATTAGGAGAGAATTCTTTGAAATTTTAAGATTAGGTGTGAAGATATGAAATAGTGTTATCACTTTTGGCTATAGGTACATTTAAAGTTACTTTCCTGTTAGATTTAATGATGTGAGATCATACTGGTCACTAAGTTTTAACCGCAGTAAAGAAAGGTGTTTCCATTTGTCTCTGTGATAATAAAGTTGTTTTTTAATGGGACTTTTAAATGGAAAAAAAACCATTGGTAGATTGTATATTTTGGAAGTTTAAGTATGATGAAGAAGAACTGTAGCAGCCCATATCAGTTTCAAGGGAACATGTGTTGGAACATACAGCATTATTATGGTGTCATTTTAATCTTCTGTTGGTAGGTTTGCATTAACACAGTCTTAATGACTCATACAGCCCTGCTAGAGGTAAAACTTAAATGTTTATTCTCTGCTTTAGCTGTTGGAATTCATCAAAATTGTACTTGAAAGAATATCTTTCCTTATGAATTCTTAATCGTGGCTGAGGCAAGCAGTAGATTAGATATAAATCTAGAAGCTTCAGGGAAGATCAACAGTATTATGTTTATATTCATTTTCGAAGTAAGCAGAATCTCAAAAGGAAAGTGTTCGAAGAGGCGAGAAGTGTGGTGGATGGTGTGAAAAGAAATGGATGTGATAAAAGGCTTGCATTTTTGAGAAAAGAAGAGAAACTGATGTTATTACTTCATTCCTGAATCTCTAAGTATTGATCTTGCTTTGTTTTCCTAAAGCAGCAATTTACCGAAAGGCATTACTGGTTTGATAAAAGGGAATAGTGTTCTGTTTTATCAGTTCATTATAAAGGAGTCAGCATCATGGCTTAATGCTTCTTCTTTCAGTCCCTTTCTCTGTTTATTGCTGATTTGACAGTCTCTGATCCTTTTCCTTTGCTGTTAAATGTGTGTGTCCTTTGTTTGTGCTGGTGGGTTTTGCTACATTTGAATGTGAGAGGAAAAAAAGCCTGTCATTACTATACTAGTCTAATTAGCCTTCTGGGTAAACATATACATTAAATAGATCTTCTAAGCCATGAAAGAAGAGAGCTCACAACAACGTAGATTTTCTTCTTGTACGGTGGTTTCGCCTGTTTTTTTTCCTCCACGAATTGATGGCCGAAAGCTTGTCCGGAATGCTTCATTTGGAGGATACAATGAACTTTCTCCTTCATTGCCAGGTTTGTTTGTTTAACCTTGCATGCTTGTCCTAATTTCTTGCAGACTTTTCGTTAGAATAAATCGGGCATTTTAACATCTTAAAATTGTTTTCCTTTAAACAACAGTAAAAAACATTCTATATGAAAGGTTAGGTTTCAGTAAGTGCTGCTATATGATTTAGCTTTTCCATATTTTCTCTTACCATCTCTTAAGCTAAAACTTGAGAACTAACCATACAGTAAAGTAGGAATGTTGAGTGCTTATGGCATGAATTTTTGCTTTAATTATAAAATAAATATTATGACCCTTAGATAAAATGAAAACCTTTTCTAGATTTGAGTAAATGCAGAATTCTGTAAATAAACAGATATCTGACCATTTTCTGCAGAATAGTAACTACATTAAATTGATGTTTAGTGTAAGCTTTAATATCTCAAGTTCTGACTAAATTGAAGTTTTTTGTCTAAGTATGATTTTTTCAACTATCTTTTTTCTTGTTAAATATGTATGTATGCAAACACAAAATTTTTGCTAGGAAAATATGGTATTTTTAGGGTTGTGTTTATTCTATGAAATCAAGCATTTGACAGCTATGATTTAGGCGTTAAATATTGGTCAGTGAGATGTAGACATAAATTGATCTTTTGTTGTTTGAAAATCATTCATTTTAGCAGATATTTGGACATATATATTTAAATATAAATAATGCTTTATCTTTTCCTTTTAAAATTTTAAACTGCTGCATAATTATATGTACTCTCTTAAGGTTATATATTTCTTTTAAAATAAAAAAAAATTCTTTAATACTCAGGCACAGAAATATTGATTGAAACTAATGGTTGGTTTAACCTTTATATCTTTTCCTGATAGTTACATTTTGTTAGATTTGAATTATATTTCCAATTTGCATATTAACCCTTATTCTGTGTTTTTTGTGAATATTCATGCCAGTAGGTGTATTTACAATTTTTTGAGATACTGAAACACCTCCTAGAAAGTATTCACTTGGGCAAATTAAATAAATTATTATAAATTCACTGATTAGATTTTTTTTTAGCAGTGTTTCCAAAATGAATTAAAAATCTTAGGCCTGAACTTTCGTAAGTAACATAAGCTTTAAACAGCATTTGTAATCCATATTTAGTCTTCTTAGTGTAGCATAGTTACTATTGTTCTTTCTTATATTCTCAAATAGTATGAATTTTTGTATTTGTCTTTGCTCAGAAGTGGCTTTGAAAATACAATATTGAAATTTTTTTTATGTTGTTGAATAGTCTATTTGCTTTTACCATGAGACTTAGCAGTAGTTCCATTTCTGTATTTGTCTCTGTTGCCTGGTTTTTTTGTGTTTTTAAGCCGGGAAACTTACTAGACATGCTGTTTGCTGACCTTCACGCCATCAGTCTGTTTAATAGTAAAAATAATCATGTGACCTTGATAAACAATAGAAAACGTCAATTTTTAAAACTTTGATACTTATTTTGTAATTGAAAGCAAAATTGTCAATGTATCTTGTCAAAGAATATATTGAAGATAATCCTGTAGGGATTTGTTTTCATGGAAAAGTAGATGGTTTGCTTTGTTTTCTAGTTCTTAAAGTAGAGAAAATCATACTCATAGAAATGATTCTATATTCCATTGCCTTTAATACAACCAATTGTTATATTACAACTAGCAGTAATAAAAAGCTCTCAAAATATCTGTTTCATTTATCAGCTAAGAAGTAAAATAGAATTAAGTACTTCAAATAAATGGCTTTTTGTTATGTATTTTTTAAGTTAAAAGTTTTAAAATACATAACAGTTTTTTTAAGATGTATTTGCTTTGATAAAGAAATCATTGGAGGAGAGGTTCTGCGTTAGTGATTTTTAGAGAGAACTTTTCTTACCATCTTGAGCACAAACCTTTTTCATTTTAATTTTCCTTAGGAATTTTTTTTTGGGGGGGGGTTACTTCTGCCTACAAAACATATTGGTATAGCCTTTTTCTTGATGTTGAATTATGCAGAGATTCTCCTCCCCACTTCCCCACCCTCTGTTCTACTAGTGATACCATAGTACAGATGTGTTCTTTTGTTTTTAGTTCATGTCTGCTTATTTGTTTCTTCCCTTATTCTGAGCTGTTACTTCTAGATATGCTCATTGTACCAATCTCTAGAACAGTACCTAAAAGTAGGAGTAAATAAACTTTGAGCAAAGAAATCTTCTGTAGATAAACTGTGAGTTTTAGTGCATAGGTTGTTTTGTTTTGTTTTGTTTTTCATCTAAATTTAATTATCAGTCCCCCTTCCTTTTTTGGTTAGCTGAGCTATAATTAGTAAATTCTTTTTTTTTTTTTTTAATTTGTTTTGATGGTGAAAGCATTTCTAAAAAGCATTAATATATTCTCTTATGTGGAGAATACGATAGCATTCTTTTGCTTGAAACTTCAATACTTTGTCACTCTCAGGCATTTTTCCTAAGAGAAACTGAACCACTGGGAGTTAAGTAGCTTGCCTGAGGTCAAACAGCTAGTAAATGGTAGTGCCATTGTTTAAACTCAGGTAATCGGACTACTCCACTGCCTTCTATATAAGCAGCTATCTTACTGTATCATAATTTTTGTTTGCATACTTCCTATTAGACAATAGACCTTTTTTATGGTAGAGAACAATGTCTACTTGTGTTTTTATTCCTAACATCTAATTCAATGCTTGACACATAGTAGGTACACTATAAATATTTAATTAGATGATTTAATCATTATCTCTTAGATGATAGATTTACCATCTATCATTCTAAATATTTATTATTCTGAGTATTTATTACTGTCACAAGTCTGTCCAAAGAAAATGTCGAAGTCAGCCTGAATGTGTGTTAGAGAATGAGAACAAAGCTAGACTGCCTGGTTTCAAATCCTGACTTAGCTACTTATTGGCTAGTTGGAAGGGATTTGACTTCAATAAAACACTCAAAGGATACTCTTACTACTTTTATACCTTAATGGTAGAAACAAAATTGTTTGGAAAAAGACCATTAAGAAAGTAGTGAAAACCACAGATCCTCTCTGGAAAAAGGCATTTTTATTCTAGGCCTCAAATTATTATTACAAATAATTTTTCAAGGTCAGTGATAAGCAGGCATATAAGACGATATGGCATGATGAATAAGAACTAGCGGAAACAACAGACAACAGAAAAAAGACCCACCAAGCTTTTTAGATATTAGAATCATCAGATACACTTTTTTTTTTTTTTTTTTAAAGCTGTGTTTACTATGTTAGTTAAAGAAAAACAAAGACCAACTCGGAAAACAGGAAGCTTTCTGAACAGGAAATTATAAAAAGTAGCCCAGCAGATAGCAGACTTGATGAATAACTTTAGAAATGAAACAAAGCACAATAACCAAAATTAAAAATCCAGTAGACATGTTAGTAGCAGATTGGACATATAGATGAAGATAGAATTAGTGAAGAGGAAGATAGGTCAAGATATTATCCAGGATGCCTCAGGAAGAGATAAAAAGATGAACAATACAGAAGAGAGGCTGAGACATGGAAAGTAAAGGGAACAGATCTATCATGTATTTTTTGGTGGGGTGAGAGGTCATAAAAGAAGTGGAGAAAATTGTACAAAAACAAATACTTTTTCTAGAACTAATCAAAGACACCAATCCATAGATTTTCAAGAAGTCCGGTGAATCCCCGCAAAATAAGTAAAAAGACACTAACACCTAAATATATTATAGTGAAACTACAGAACACCAGAAACAGAGGAAAGAAAAAACAGATTTCCTTCACAAGAGTAATAGTTAAGCTGACTTCTACTTTACTTCTTAACTGAACAGTGAAAGCCAAAAGAGAATGAATTTTTTTTTAATTTGCTAAAAGTAAATAATTGCCAATCTAAAATTCTGTGCCTCTTAAAAAAAAAAAATCCCAAGAGTGAAAACAAAATAAAGATATTTCAGACAAATAACTGAGACGATTGCTACCAGCAGACCTCATTATTGGAAATTCTAACAGGTGTACTTCAGGCAAAAGGAAAAAGCAATTTCAGATGGAAAGTCTTAAGTTTCAAGAAGAAATAAAATAATATGTGGGCAAATTTAATGTACATTGATTCTGAAACCAACAAAAATAATGTGTTTCAGAGTTAAAAAAAAAAAAAGAGAGCTTTGAAATATATGACAGTAATAGTATATAAGGAAGTAAACAATAAATTCTTTGAAGATGTTTGTATTACCAAGGAGGAGGGTAAAGATAATAATTAATTTTAAATTTTGAGGAGCTAAAGATACATACTGTAATTTCTACAGTAACCACTAAACAGATAGAGTGATTAACTTATTTTATCTCTACTAGTTTATAATGAAAAGAAGACAAGAAAGGAGAAAAAAAGAAAGTGTAGGAGGAACAAATAAAAAGCTCGATATGATAGGTAAACCTAGATAAATCAGGAATTACATTAAGTGGAAATGATCTAAAGGTTAGATTTTTTAAAATAGCCAATGTGCTGTTTACAAAAGATATATAAAAATAGAAAGATACAGAAAATATGAAAATAAAGGGATGGAAAAAGCACACAACATAAACATCAATGGAAAGAGCTTTTCTATATCTAGTGATGGTCAGACATGAAAAACTGTGACTTGCGTCTCTTATGATTTAGATTTTTAGTAGCTATTTTTAAAAACTTTAACATAAATTGACCTGTTTGAAAAGTGCACTAAGACTTTTATGTTCTGTACTGTGTCAGAAGCCCTGGTGGTGCAGTGATTAGGAGCTCGGCTACTAACCAAAAGGATGGCAGTTTGAATCCACTAGCTGTTCTTGGAAACCCTATAGATCAGTTCTTCTCTGTCCTGTAGGATCGCTGTGAGTCGGAACTGACTTGAGGATAATGGGTTTTTGTTTCTTTAATGACATTGAGCATATTTTCATGTGCTTATTGGCCATTTGTTTATCTTCTTTGGAGAAATGTTTATTCAAGTCCATTTCCTATTCTTTTATTGGGTTGTTTGTCTTTTTGTTGTTGAGTTGT